TAGGTTACGGTACGGTTACGGTTACGGTTACGGTTACGGTTACGGTTAACGTTACGTACGTACGTAACGTAACGTAGTACGTAGTAGTAGTTGTGTGTGTGTGTGTGTGTAGTGAGAGAGAGAGAGAGAGAGAGAGAGAGAGAGAGAGTACTCGTGGAGATTATGAGAGGAAATGGATCATAGATTCTTCATGGGGGCCATTGTGCTGCGCAATTTCGGAACATTGAAGTACGAAAACAACATTTTATCTCCTTGAGGATGTTATCTTGCTGCCCATGAGGAAGACCAATTCTAGTTGTATCATATGAATGACATGAGGAATCTAGCTGCGGGTTGCATAAACTAATCTGTGTTGTTGGTGCTTTTTGCATAATGTACTGAGTATTTTTTCTGTTGCAATCCGTTCTTTCTTTTAAATTTCAATGGGATTCATTTTTTTCTTCAATATTGATTATGAAAATAAATCCTGTATAAGAGAAGCCAGCTTGCCTAAATGTGTTGGTTTGTTATTTAATCAATTTTTTTTTCTTTGACTATTTGGTTCCTTTCTTCTCATCATTATTTGAAACATTTTGATTTCTTTGATCTCTGTGATTTGTTTATGATATGTCACGTGTCAATTTACAGGGTGGTGAGATTTGTTCTTTGCGGTATGATCTGACTGTTCCATTTGCTAGATATGTGGCCATGAACGGTATTACCATGTTAAAAAGGTATCACATAGCAAAAGTGTACCGACGAGACAACCCGTCCAAGGGGAGATTCCGTGAATTCTATCAGTGTGATTTTGATATTGCTGGTCAGTTTCCATTAATGCAACCTGATTTTGAGGTTATAAAGGTCATGACCGAGTTGCTAGATGAACTTAATATTGGTGAATATGAGGTACTCTTTTGTCTCAGTTATGCTAATTAATCTTACTTTTATCGTCTTTCCTCAAAAAAAAAATCGTATGTTTAATGTCTCTCCCATATGATCCTTATTTCCTTGCATTTCCTTGATACTGAACGAAAATTTATTGTCACTCTTTTCCTTTTATTTGTAGTTGGATCTCGTGTAATTTTTTTTTTATCTGAAAATCCTACATTTCTATATTGTTTAATGAGTTGTTTTAATTACAGATAAAGCTCAATCACCGAAAATTGTTAGATGGAATGTTAGAGATATGTGGCGTACCTTCAAATAAGTTCAGGACAGTCTGCTCAAGCATTGATAAGTTGGATAAGCAGTCCTTCGAGCAAGTCCACAAGGAATTGGTGGGTACATTTTTTTTCCTTTTTGGTTGGCTTATTCTTCTGTATCTTTATTTATAATTCTAGTGGTATTCATTTTGCATGATTATATTGGGAGTTGGGTCCAGACTTGCTGTCTGGAGAAGAATTCCATCTAAAGATTTTAAACTTTGGAACTCCAGTATTTGGCTTCTTAAGGTACAGTCAAGTCTTGTAGTTCTATTTTTCTTTGATGTATATACTGTTTGTTAGTGTGAGCAAATCAGGTCTCTCCACCAGGAGGCTCTTTGAAAGAAAGAACCTCTTGTAAGAGAACTAACTGCCTATAATGACTAGATTTTGGGGATGTACTCATTGATGGACTCGAAGTCATAATGAATTAAAAAAGTATGATGAGTGCAAGAGGAACGGAAAATAATATGGAGGTTGGGAATCATACATGTTATGCAAGGTAGCCCATGTCATGCACAAGATGTCACACCTGGGGAGGCATGATACTCTAGGGAGGGATTTTTGGCTGCATTTGGTCTCACTGCTTATTCTCTTCAATGTCTCTCATGACCTTGTCATTATGTTTCTTAATATTGAAATCTATTTGGCCTGCATGAAAACTTCATTTGATTAATAAATTCCTCATAGGGCTCTTGTTTCCACTTGTAACCCTGAAAAAGTTAGTATTTTGGATAATATTATGGGGGAAAGTAGGGCCTGTTGTACGTCAGTATTGTAAAGCTTGTGAAGCTCGTATTATAAATACATGCAGTCAACATTCTCCCCAACAAAGCATTATGGAGAAAAACAGATTATGAAACATTCTATCCACCTTAAGCTTAACTTATGGAGAATATGCTTTAGGGAGGAACCATATGTATCAAAAGTAGAGCGCCTATAACCAGGTAGGCATGCTCCTTGAGGTTCATTACGCTAATCACACTCTGCTTGGTCCCACCTCACCTCCAGGTGGCTGCTCTGGCCACTGCTTGGTAGCAAAATATTTCGAGCCCAAATGAGTAATTGTGGGATGGGTAACCCCATACCATATACTTGACTTCCTACAGGTAGCAGTAAGGATCCTAAACTGCTCCATCTTTTAATTGTGTATGCACGTTCAAGTGCTGGTTTAGTTAACTGGCCTTCATGAAGGGCACATGCCCCTATTGATCTCAGATAACACCAATTGTGCCCCATGTAGAGGACAGAAATGAAGGGTCACTAGTTAATTTATTTTTGTAGAAATCAGAATTTATTTAAAACAAAAAAATATAATAGTCACAAATGTGTTAGGAGTGGGTGCGGGAGTGGTCAGGGGATTATCCCCTACCTAAAGTTCCCTATGCCTTGGGGACGACTATATATATTATGAACTATTATATATAAATTTATAGATTATTATAAAAAATGTATTATTTTGTATATAATATATATTATGAAATCATAAAAACTTTAAAAACAAATGAATTATATTTTTAATATTATATACACGTGAACCCCAGAGATTCCATTGTGAGAGATAGAACTGTTAACGGGCCTGGGCAAGGGTTCAGGCCATATGATAAGGCCTGTGGGCTGTCTCAGGTTGGGCCCAAAATAAATTCGAGCCTGGCTAGCACTTGCCTGGCCAGGCCCAAATTGTTTTATTTTATATTGCACATATTAGAAAAACATTTTCCCTATATTTTTATAAGGCCTGGGGGGGGCCAGTTTTTCAGGCAGGGCCCAGGCAGGGCTCGGACTTATCTTGCACAGTTTGGGGCTGGGCTGGCCCAGTCCGAACCAGCGTAAGCAGCTCTAGTGAAAGAAATCCATAAAATATGGTTTGAGATTGTAAAGCCATGCCAAGAAAGGGAGCTGGAATTTATTCTTAACCACCATCATCTTTTGATGGTGTTAATGAAACCTTGCGATCCACATCTATTCATCCATAAATAAAATGCATATAATCAACATATGTAGGCGCACAGCCATACGTACTATAGTTAGTTATTGACTGTAGCAAATCTTTGTGATTGACAATTTGTCTAAGCGTATACAAATTAGAAACATCTAATCTTATATTGGATTGCTGTGTATCATGATCCTATGTTAAATGGGATGGATATCCCATATAATCAGGACCGTGCTATCAAGGAGCTAAACAATGAGCAGGAGTGTCCCCTGGGAAAAGTGCTTCTTGTAATTGTTAGAAAGTGGTGGATTAGGATTATTGATTTGAATTTGTATTTGGTTGACACTGGTTTATGACTTGAATATATTCCAGAGAACTAAGGGGTGGCTCCAATAAGTGGGAAGATGAAGGAAAGTAAACTTAGGTGGGTTGGCCATGTGCAACGCAGATCCAATACGATAACGGTTAGGGGGTCTAATTTGGTTCAATTGGAAGGCTCCAAAAAGGCAAGGAGAAGGCCCAAAATGACATGAATAAAAGTAGTGAGAAAGGATATGGGGAATTATGGTCTTACTGAGGGCATGGCCATTGATGGAGCAGAATGGCGAAACAAGATTCTTGTAGCAGACCACAAACAGTATAGATAAGGCTCTAATGATGATGATGATGATGGCTAGTTGATATCTTGTTATGCAACCAATTGACCTTTTTCTTAGGCAGGTGTTATAATATGATAATGCTTATTAATATAGACTATGTTATAGCTCCTCTTGTGGTCTATACCCTGTATGAGTCATGCCTCAAGGAAGCAACTACTCGGAAAAAGATGTGAATAACCAGAAAAAATCCGCCCTCCAGTGAGGTGTCAACCAGTGTTACATGGATCCCAACTCGAGTTTTGTGGCGATACATGTCTAAAAGGTAGTACACAAAAAGCCAGTATGGAGAGACATGTCTGTACAAGCCATCATTTTGAAATTTGAATAACTCAAAGTGGTGGACAAGGGGCTTCCATGAAAAGGTCCCAAGGTCGAGCTCAGCTATGAGCTCTTGTCATTTTTGTTATTCAAATGCAGTGTCCCCACTCCCCACATATCGATATATGTCAAAGTTTTTGCACATGTTGACATGTAACACCAAGCCCTAGGGTGAGTGTCGGGCCAACTTTGATGTACACCCATGCTAGTAGGACTTTCTCAATAATGCCTGTTCTCCATGGTGCTGTGATGGTTTCTTTGGCAAAATGGAATATTGATTACCTTTAGAGTGTTATATTTGGTGTTAAACTCAAGATTGTAGCATTCTTTGTGCAACTTTCGTGGAGGTTATGATGCTAATCAAATTTCTTCAATTTGCCAACAAGTGGAACTTGACAAGTACCTATATAGAATCGAATTCTCAGGATGTCCTTTGGTTGGAGGGAGGAATTCTTTCCTGATGACAGTTCACTTTCTCGAAATTTATGGTCCTTTAAAGCTATTTTTGACAACTGGAAGTACAGCTTTTGTGGGAATCTTTGGGGAATTGGGAATCCAGAAGATACTGAAAAAGAAAAAATCGTGATTGAGAAACTGAGAACCCTTTTCTGGCAATATTTCCGGGAGATCTGGTGTTGACAATTGCTCATGTTTGGTGACCTGGAAAGCTGAAAACCACTGTTTTAACCATTCATTATGTAACTCATTGATTAAATGTTGAAATTCATTGCTTGATTGAGAGTGTTTAGTTATAACTCATCCATATTATTACTTACAATTTACAAAATAGATGCTTTTCTTTCTCCCTGTCTCCCATTGTCTCTTTAATGGTTTTCTTTTGATTGGTCTTTTATTTTGTAAAACATATATTTTCAATTCAAATAACTGTGTTATTGTCATCACAAAAAAAGCTGTCAAATGCCACATACTAGTTAAACGATGAGAGAGAGAGAGAGAGAGAGATGTTAGTCTCTTGGAGAGAGATAAAGCAAGAGAGAGGTGGTTTCCATACAAAGAAAGAGAGAGGGGCAGGATATTGGCCGGGGGGGGGGGGGGGGGGAGAGAGAGAGAGAAACTCTTGTAGAGGGAGAGGTGGTGGTCTGGGCAATAGAGCGTAGGTTCTAAGAGAGAGCAAGAGAGGGAGATCTCAAGCTCACACTAAATTGAGTTAAAAACAGATAGGTTTAATTTTTTTAGAACTAAACTTTAGCCTTTTTATTAGAGTATTTTTTAATATGGCATGGGAGAGTAAAGCTTGTATAAAAAAAGATTTTTTTTTGTGCATGCGTGTGTGTGTGTGAGAGCGAGAGAGGGGAAAATGTTGTCTAGAAACAGCTTGCATAAAAAAGGTTTTTTCTTTTTTTTTTTTGAAAAAAAGTTTTATTATTATGGGAGGAAAAAGAACAAGCTTGTCCAGAAACAACTTGTACAAAAACTTCTCTATGGGAGGAAAAGAAAAAGCTAAATAACTTTCCCCTACTTTGGGAAAGCAGGGAAAAAATAGCTCTGCTTTGCCCCCTTTTCCCTGGGTTTCCCTCTACCAAATAGGGGAAGGCTACACAAAGCGGGAAAGCTGTGGGCTTCCTTCCTGGTTGTCAATGGTGGCCTAAATTACATGTTGAGAGGAAACCTGCCACTTGGTTGGTGAAGAAAACTGGTATTTCTCTTAGGTAACAAATTCTAGAGAATGACAGGTAACACGTGAGGTTTTAAGTCCCTTTCTTATATATTAGATATGTTTCTATTGTTTCCTCTTGGATGGAGAACTGCATTTTTTTATGATCTTTTTTTTGAAGCATTTATGATTTCTTTTATAAGATTCAGTTCTACTTCTACACATAGAACTGAGTAGCCTGGAACAATCATTTCCATCAATGCGTAGGTAACATCTGAAATTCAGTTAAAAAACTGCTGCTTTTTTCAACTCTCACTTGTAGAACATGATTTGTAGGGTTTAAAAAGTTCTTTCTTTTATGACCGACAGCTTAATTTCATTTTGCTAAATCTATTTTACCTCATCATGTTCCTTTCTAGCTGCATTTTCATTTACTTTTCTGTTTACTGTAACATTTTTTTAGATACTGTAGTTAATGTGCTTTATCTTTATATTCGGCAGGTAGAGGATAAAGGCTTAACTATAGAAATGGCTGAGAGTATTGGTTCCTTTGTGAAGAAACGTGGTCATCCGCTGCAAATATTGGCTGATTTGCAACACGAGAACAGCCCATTTTTGAAGAATGATGGATCTCTTGTTGCACTCAAAGAGTTGGAAATCTTATTTAGAGCACTAGAGAAGTCAAAGTGTATAGATCGCGTGGTTTTCGATTTAAGCCTTGCAAGAGGTCTTGATTATTACACAGGTGTTATCTATGAAGCCATTTTCAAAGGCGCTACACAGGTATATTTTGAGCAAATTTCATATTTCTCGGTCAGCAAATCTCCTGTTTAAGTAACTTGCAGTTATACAACATCATGAGCATACTTCTTAGTGGAAAGTGAGGAAATTGCAACATACTTTGAAATCAAGTAGTGCTGAAAAATGGAATCATTATGCTGATTGTTCTAGAGTTGTAAGGTTAATCACAGTGGTCATGTCAACCATAATCTGTGTAAGTAAAGTTCAAAGTATTCCTGGACCTGTTCATGTAGGTCAGTAAGTGGTATGGTCAAAGTTTTCCAGTATGAATTAGGATTATATAGTGTCTTGTATCCTGTGCTGCCTCGTGCTCACATACTTCATATTGCATTTACAAAGATAATGTAGGCTGGCTTTGGAGGCATCTTGAGGATGCTAATACATTGGGTGCCGTATTCAGTTGTGTTCCTTGCAGTTGTGATGGAAAAAAGTGGGGAAGTACCTGTATCCTTATAGAATTTAAAACGCGGTAGCCGCATTTTACATGATTCGTCAAATGTAAAGGGTGCAAAAGGGATATGGCATAAGGTTGAGAGTTGACCATCGACAGTTTCTCACCCATTCGGTTAAAAAGTCTTCTGGTTTTGAAAACTACAGTTTGTATTTCAAACAAAAGAAAAAGTAAACTGAAATGGTAGTTGTACTTGAGCCTATTTTTGGTGGTTTTCTTCAATAATCTTATCTGGCTTTTAACCCAGGATTTCACAAGGCTGATATGGCAATGCCCATTTGGGGTATTTTCAAATTACATTTGCTTGCTTCCAGCTATTTTGGACATTCAGAAAAACCAGCCTAATGTGGGGATTTACTTTGTCTTCCACTATTCTTTTTAACCAATTGATTCTTGCAATATTTATGTAAAAAAAGGAAGACTTTATCCGTCTTTTGAATAGTTTTTCTTGGAACTGTTTGTGTAGGTTGGCTCCATTGCAGCAGGAGGGCGTTACGACAATCTTGTTGGGATGTTTGGTTCAAAGCAGGTTCCTGCAGTTGGTGTGAGCCTTGGGATTGAGAGAGTTTTCACAATTATGGAACAGTTGCAGAAAGACAAGAAGAAGGTGAGTTCTCACTTGAATTTTAATTTTTCTTCACATGAACATACCCTTCCTTCAATTTACTGTAGCTGTATGTTATTCTTACCCTCACATCATACGTCCATTAGTTTTTGTTAGAGATCTAAGTATTTTAGTTTAGGAATTTATACTATAAGACCATCCATCTTTGGAATAAGGAGGCCACAAATAATCCTAGTCATCAAATGTCAAAAATCAGACAGTTTTAAAGTATGTCACAAAGTTCAAAAAAGAAAAAATTGAACTTTGAGCTTGATCAGTCACGCACTCTTCCTGATTTCAAGTCTAGCAGTCCCAAGTCACCATGACCTCCTTATACAAGAGATAAATGTTCTTGTTGTATATATTTCCTTTGGTTTTTATCATTTTTATTGTACACTCTTTTTAGCATGTTTATGAATTCTATGCTTGTGATCTGTATGGAGTATCAAAGTCTTCAAGCCGTTGTGTAACTCTCAATTTCAAAAGTGTTGTATTGGGTCTGGGTGTATACTTCCTTGCCCTTTTTCAAACAGATGTTGGTGATTTCAGTATCCCTTAAGAATGTCGAGAAACCCAGGATAGGATAAATTGTACATCCGCAGTAGGTTGAATAGACCACGGGGAGGAGATCTAGTTTGTGACACCATGTGTGTCTCTCCTCTTGCTAGTGAAATTTTGTTGATTACTTGCACGAAATGAACCATATTTCGTCTTGTCTCTCTTTGCTACATACCGAAGGCTTTATTAAGAGATGATGAGATTCTTCATCAGGGTGAGAAAAACTGGGCCTTTATTCTTCTTGTGCATCTAGGCTTTCAGAGGAGAGCGACGAAGTTTCTCATAGGCTTTCCATTCTGTGGTAGCTCAGACCCTTTGTTTGACATCATTTTGAGGTCTCTTCTTTTGACTAATAGTTTGAAGGTTGTCTTGAGACAGCCTTAAAGCGATAGTTTTGTGTATTTTAGTGGAATTGATCATTCTAAGACCTTAGAGTGTGCATAAGGACCTTTTCATATATACTTGGTATGGGTTCTCAAAGATCTTGTCACAAATTTATGAACTTTGATTGGATAAGCGCTCAGCATGGTTGATTGGCGTATGATACTTCTCTAATCATTCGTTAGATTCTAAGTCACTGTACTACTTGCTCGCACCATTGGCAATACTCCTAACTTTCAGTCTCTCTCTCGCTTTCTTTCTCTCCTGCACTTGCATGTATACCCTGCAGCTATTGACGGTGTTTATTCTGTTGGTTTAGACAATACGAGCCTCTGAAACACAAGTTCTGGTGGTTCTTTTTGGGGATGATTTGGGGGAAGCAGCTGCCCTATCCAGTGAGCTTTGGAATGCAAAGATAAAGGCAGAATTTGTTCTGACATCGAGCAAAAAAATCTCAAAACAGATTGATTACGTTGTGCAGTCATGTATCCCTTGGATGATTATTGTGGGTGATGATGAACTTGAAAGAGGAGTTGTAAAGATGAAAGACATTATGGCCAACAAACAAGTGGAGGTCCCGAGAGAAAGAATCGTTGGGGAGCTCCAGGCCAAATTGAGAACCATTAATGAATGCTCCTCTGAGCACAATGTTGTTGTTTAGTAGGTCTCTCTCTCTCTC